GTCCAGCTCCCAAACCTCCTGGATTTATACACCAGCCACTTGAGGAAGAAGGATTTAAAGGACTCCACCCACCCAAGTCCTTTTGTTCTCATACATGTGACATAACATATATATATATATATATATATATATATATATATATATGGAAATGTGTAAAACTTTTTTAAACTTATATTACTGTACAATGGAGCAACACTGGTATATATACTAAAAACATGTAAACATTTATGTGTGTATATATTTATATTTTGTTTCTTTTCATGTACATATATTAAGTAACAAGTACAACCCCAATTCCAAAATTGGGACACTGTGTAAAATGTAAATAAATGTAAATAAAAACAGAATGCAATGTTTTGCAAATCTCATAAACCCATATTTTATTCACAATAGAACATATAGAACACAATAGAACACATATCAGATGTGAGACATTTTACCTTTTCCTGAAAAATATTAACTCATTTACAACTTCAACAAAAGGCTGAAAAATAATGAAAAACAGCTGGAAGAACAATTTGCAAATAACTCATATGACTGGGTATAAAAGGAGCATTTTAAAGAGGCAGAGTCTCTCAGAAGCAAAGATGGGCAGATGTTCACCAATCTGTAAAACTGTGTCTAAAAATTGTGGAACAATTTCAAAAATTGTTGTTCAACGTAAAATTGCGAAGACTTTGGATATCCCACCATCTACAGTACATAATATCATCAAAAGATTTAGAGAATCTAGAGAAATCCCTGTACACAAGGGACAAGCCCAACAGTCAATATTGGATGCTCATGAACTTCAGGCCATCAGGTGGCACAGGATTGAAAACAGGCATGATTCTGTACTGGAAATCACAACATGGGCTCAAGAACACTTCTAGAAATCACTGTCTGAACACAGTTCGCCGTGCAATCCACAAATACAACTTGAATCATGCTGAGAAGAAGCCATATGTCAACATGGTCCAGAAATGCTCCCGTCCGCTGTGGCCCAAAATTTAAAATTCTTTTTGGAAACCATGGATGCCTGCAGTCCAGACCTTTCAGCAATAGAAAACATTTGGCACATCATGAAATTAAAAATTTGGCAAAGAAGACCCAGGACTGTTGAGCAGGAAGAATCCTACATCAGACAAGAATGAGACAACATTCCTCTCCCAAAACTCCAGCAATTGGTCTCCTCACTTCCCAGACGTTTACAGACTGTTGTCTAAAGGAGATGGGATGTTACACAATGGTAGACACGGCCTTGTCCCAACTTTTTTGAGATGCGTTGCTACCATCAAGTTCTAAATTAGTAAATATTTTTCATGAAATGGTAAAATTTCTCACTTTTAGCATCTTATATGTGTTCTATGTTCCATTGTAAATAAAATCTGGGTCTATGAGATTTGCAAATCATTGTGTTAGGTTTTTATTTACAATTATTTACATTTTACACAGCATCCCAACTTTTTTAGAATTGAGGCTGTAGTACAAGGGGGCTACACACCTAAGATTTTCGCTCACCTTGGCACCTGTGTAAATGTGATGCGATAATAAACATGATTTTGATTTGATTTGATTTAAACTGGGATTTTAGAGGTGAGGGAGCCCTATTTTTCCATGGGTGTCAGCTATGTGGGAAGTTATTATTGATTAACGTATCATGAAATATCATGATAACGTTATTAAAAATATTATAAACCACATCATTCCAACCTAACATCACTAATTCAACTAATATAGCAAATTTGATTAACAATAATAAACTACAAAACACTGTTAGCTAGCTAAGTGCAAATATCTGCCTTTGAGTACATTTTGCAACAGTCTGTTGGCAAAAAAATAACAAATCTATTTACCTAGTTAAAACATCATGAAACCACAAGAATAAACCCATTAGTACATAAATGATTGTGAATTTTTTATCTCAATATTTTGTGTATGGTGTAACAAACCACTTGTAATATTTATAACTGAGCTACAGAAACTCAGAAACTGAGGAATAGATTGTAGCTAGCAGTGTTAACTCAGCAAGGGTTCAGGGCCTGATTGGCACCTGGAAACAAGACATAGTCACTCTGCCATCTGGAAATGTCATGTAACGTGTCACTTACCGAATGGCCCCTGCCTTTGATAACTGTTAATGAGTGGCACTTGTCATTTATGACACTCAGTTAGTGGTATCTGTCATAATGAAATGGTGCATGCCACTCAAAACAGGTATGTACCAACAGCTCCTGTGAGTAAAGCCATGACTCTGGACACCAGCTATTCGGTTATGCTAACTAGCAGTATCAGAACCTGGGAAAAGTGAAGGTGGAATGTCAATTTGAAGACTATGTACAATTAATCTTTCATGTGGTTGGTTCACTGGTTTTACTGTTGGGTGGTCGATTTTTAATGGAAATTGGCCACTTTAGCAGAAAGCTATGTAGTAATAAAATAAAAGTTGCAGTAATATTTGCTTGAATATAGACTTGCAGGCTTTTTGTTGCACAGAGAGTTAATGAAAATAGCACGTAACAGACATACTCATACTAATTACTGAATTTATTGTGTTATTCATGATAAATTGAAAAGACCATTTATCTGCATATTTATTAAATAACACATGAGAAATGTAGGCTTGTGTTCTTGTTTTTATTTATTAATTTGTATTATTTACAGGGATCTCTCAGCAGCACCTGTCGTTCAGTAGTGGAACTAGCTAAACGCCAATGGCACTTTTAACTCTGAACACCTTGTTAGTTTGAGGATGTATGCAATTGCTCTACATCATCATGCAGTTGCATACAACACAAGTGTAACATTTAAAATTGCACTTTAAAATCTTAAAAAGAAGAAAAATTACTTTTTAACTAAATGTCCTCAAACCAAAATATCCTTTAGATTGGAGGCTCAGAGTTCCCACAATGCACCATAAAATCCAGTGAGCACAATTATATAGACATAAATGTATGTAATTTAAGCAGCTTGGTGTAGTATTTCTTGCAAAATTTAAGGCCAGCTAACTTAGCTTAGTTTGATGTAACCCTGGTGGCAGTGGTGTCAGCGCTGCTCTTTACATTAATAAATGCATTACTTTCTACCTGTGTAGGTAGTATGATTCATTTTTCCTTCTTTGGTAACTCCTCATGTTTCATGATATTGGCTGTTTGACATAAATGTAACACCTCCGTATATATAAGCACAAGGATCAATCACTTTAGTTTAATCACCAGAGTATTTAAACCTGGATTAACAGAGAAAGCTTTTAACCACTGCTTCTTCGTTTGTTTGGTTTTGTGAAGCTGAAACCTGTGAATTTCAAAAAGCCTGTCTAAGTTAAACCTGCTTCATTAGACACACCCCAGATCCACTACTTCTTGTTATCTAACTACAAACCAAAACAAATATTATGATGTTAATCATGATCTTAATACAAAACATATTTTCATCTTTATTCTTTTTTTTCCTCATCTACTCTTTTTCTTCTCCATTATTTGTCGCTGAATATGTACATTCTTTTTTGAGATATGATTACCCACGTCCTTTTTTACCATCACTCGAGCATCTTAGATGCCATGATGGTTCAGTGATAATCCAGATAACCCTGGTGGGCCTAAGCAGCTGCTCATATTGCTTATTTTTCCGTCTTTGGTGACTCCACATGTTTAACTGGCTGTTTGTCATAAGTATCATGCTTCCATATGTATGAGGATCTAAAAAAAAAACCACTGCTGTAAAACAAGTTAACAGCATCTGTGTTTGTTTGGTTTTGTAAAGCTGAAACTTCTGAAAGTTAAAATAAGAGTGTCAGCTCTTAATAAGTAGAGCCGACACTACTGAGACAATAAAAAAGAGACCAGGCTTGAATACTACAGCCCTAAATCTTGCAGTCAAACGCATCATCCAGTCAGTTAGATCTTGCCCCCATCTCTCATACGAAAATCTTGTCTGTCTGTTATCTCTGCTACCATTTCTAACCTGGGGTGTATTCCAGAAAGCAGGTTTAACAAACTCTAAACCTAAGCCGGAACTCAGAGTTGACTTATCTCGCCGTGTCATAGTCAAAGTTTCCGGTTCCACAACAGCTGATCAGAGTTAGTTTAGTCAATTCTGAGTAGATTGAACCCAGCTGAAGCGCGTTCACTGTTACCTGTAAATAGGCATTCGCAATGGAGTGGCGAAAAACCGATTCACTATGCCAATGATGGAAAAAAGAGAGCATCTTATTTCACACCCATAGAGCAGGAAATATTACTGACTGCATATGCAGAAAATTAATACATATTTACACGTAAAAGTAATACTTCAGCAGCCGCAAAAGAAAGGGAATGGCATGGCAAAAAATTGCAGACCAAGTTAATGCGTGAGATATTATTAAATAATATTTAAATAAAACTATGGCACATAATTTAACATTTAGCAAATGGATATGGCAAAAATAATTTTAATGTCAGTTGTAATAGTTGTCTTGATTTTTACAATTTTTTTTCTTTTTTCATTTACATAATATAGGTGTAATCCAAGTGGGGTGAAACGCACATGGCAGCAAATAAAGATGAAATATAAAAACATAGTGCAAAGTGGTATGACTTGTACATAACTACCTAATGTTCTTACTTGTAACCAGCTTGGTATGGCTTACAGTTGGTTATGGCTTTGTAGCTAATAGGAAAAAGCCAGAGGCATGGAAAACAGGAGGGGGACCACCACCGCCGCCTTTCACCCAGGCAGAAGAGCTGGCGCTGTCACAGAACAGTGGCCGGCCTATAACTGATGGAATCCCTGGAGGAAGCTCAACAGAGCCAACAACGCCCCAGGACATGACTATTTATGTTAAGGTATATTCATTACATTTATTCGTTATAGTGCATAAACTGAGGATAACTGCATTTATCTGAACAATTTTAATTCCATCTCTCCAGTGATAGGCGGTGTGGTTCAAACAACCGAGCCTCCTACAGTTGTAAGTGATCTTAAAGTCCCTAGATCTTACTTGAGGTGTACAAATACCTTTCTTTTAAACAAAAAAAATTATTGTTTCAGGATGAAGAAACTGTCTCTGCTGTCTCAGAGTGGGATGATGCTCTTGGGAGGCCTATGGATGTACAGTATATGTTGCATATGCTGAATATATTGACCATGGCATTTCATGTGATCCACCATGATAATGTGTGACTGCCCTCTTACAGAACATGACAGGAGATGTACAGCCCAATGAGGGACCATCAACATCCAGAGCTCAGCTTGGAACAGTAAGATTAGCTTAATGTCTCACCAAATAGCTGAAATATTTAGAACGCAAAGATATTTATTTGACCATATCATGGTATTTTTCTCTCTTCCTCTCTGCTTCCAAGCTGCCTGTAAAGGATTTATACAAGATACACCTTCAGAAGCAAATTGAGAAGTGTGATCTTAAGATGGAGCACATAAAACTCCAAATTAAACAGACAAGCCTTGAAATTGAGTTGCTGGAATATAAGTTAAAGGTGGGGGTAATTGCTGTGTGTGTATAGATGTGAATGTTCTTACTAAAGAATAAGGACAAGGAAATTAACTTGCCATTTTTTTATTTTCAGGAAATAAAGAAATCATGAACATAAATTGTAGTCTTATTTATATAATTAAAGGGCAGATGGGTGAGAGAAATGAGGAAATAATTATTGGGAGAAATAGTGATTGCATATTGCATCTCGGACAATTCTACCATTTCTGTGGTCAGGTAGATTAAGATGTGGTTCCTCCTCAATATCTGCTTGGGGTATGGCAGGATGTTGCTCTCCTCTAATGGTGGCAATGTTGTGCAGTACCACACATGCCACTATAATGTCACATGCCCTCTCTGGAGTGACCCTGAGCCCCCGCAGGCACTGAAACCTGGCCTTGAGAATCCCGACTGTCATTTCAACCCTTGCTCTTGTTTTGGATAGGGCCAGGTTGTAGCGTGACTGTGGTCCAGGCTCAGGGTCAGGGTATGGTGTCATCACATATGGCATGCAGGGATACCCTCTGTCTGCAAGGAGGAGACCATCGTATTGTCCTGTAAGCACACGGGGGATGCAGTGATTTAAACTGAAACAATGTAACCATACACTGAACGTGAACCACAGCAAACGTTTCCCAGACTTACCTTGTTCAAATTTATTGTATAGTGCAGACTCACGAAAAATCTGTGCATCATGCACAGAGCCAGGCCATTTGGCTTCAAGATTTGTAATTATGTTTGTAGCATCACATACGATCTTCATGGAAGATAACAGTAAGTTTATTTCACAAATTAAATGCTACTAATAAATTTAACAAAGTACATTTAAGATGGTCACTACCTGTATATTAATGCTGTGGAAGAATTTTCTGTTTACATAATCCCCTTCATTTTCTGCAGGTGCTTTAATTGGGATGTGGGTTCCATCCATGCAGCCAGTGACTCTTGGAAATCATGAAATATTAAAAGATGCAGAGCTATTTCCACTTCCCAATTATTTTATCCTTTTGTAATCTTTGTTAATAAATACAAACCTGCAATTCTGTGGAATTCCTCTTTGATGTTCATTACAGGCTTATGCCCAGGGAACACCACAAAACTGTACATCAAACGTTTTAATGCTAGGCATACTTTTCGGACGGACCGACATACAGTAGCCTTCCCTATGTGTTCAGCGTCTCCTACATTGTTTAAAAAAGAACCATTTGCAAAAAACCGGAGAGCAATGCATAAAGTTTGCAAAGAAGTAAGTGCGGATCCATGATGTGTGATATTGGAAATGTATGGCTTTAGAATATTATTTAAGTATCTAATTGACTGTGAGGAAAAACGGTAACGTTCGCGGAGATACTCGTCGGGTAATGAAAGTATGTCCAATCTGGGTCTAATGACTCGTTCCCGATGAAGAGCTCGTCGAGGAAAGGACACGCCATGTTTGCTAGAGAAAAGTGCGTGTGAACCCGGGCTATGTTTAAGTTAACCTGCCAGCGAGCAGGTTAGCTTTAGAGTGTAAGTTGCTATAGTAACTGACACCGGTTTTCTTTAATCTCGGTTTCTGGAACAGAAAACCTCGAGTTTTCGTGAATTCTGAGTTAACTTACCCGGTTTTATCGCTTAACCCGCTTTCTGGAATACACCCCTGATCAACTACTCTCTTTTCTGTACCACTATTTTTTTTGCATCTAAAGGATATCTTAAGGATATATTACTCTAGGAATGTGCTGATAAATTGCATAATAACATATTATTTGAACTATTTAAAATATATAAAGACTTTGAAGCTTCAAATTATTATATTCTCATAAAAAACTCCCTCTTGATAGAACTATTCACAATTATAATGCAGCATCATGACAGTGTTCTTCATTATCTTCATTAAGACTTGCTTCTCTACTAACTTTTTTAACATTAGATTTTATATAAACCGAGCAATGGAAACGTATTCTATTTATTTAATACTATTATTATATTATATTATATTATATTATATTATATTATAATAATTGAATAATTTGAGTTAACTTATAGGAGTTCATCTATCTATCTATCTATCTATCTATCTATCTATCTATCTATCTATCTATCAGACCGAAAATAATAACTGATCTATTAAGAATCTAGCTATGATAGACTTGTTGGTTGAGGGCAGTTCATCCCCTTTCTAGTTTTGAGAGCAACTCTACTGTCCCAAGACCTTTCCTTTACACAGATACTGCTCATATTCAGTACAAAATACTTCTTTTAATCTGACACATATTTAATTACCCTTTAGTAAGTAAGTAATTCTTTAATAAATTATACTTTTAGATATTTGGTTAGGCTCCACAGCATCTCCTCCATCTCAGATTTTAAATTCCATTTGAAGACTCTTTCTATCCTTCTTTCCCTGCTGTGGTCTGACCGAATCATGCTAATACTGCTGTGATCTCACTCTGTATGGTGTTGTTTTTTTCTGTCTTGTTTTCTCCTTTAGTCTGTAGATGTGCTTATTTTCTTTTCTGTTGAATCTTAATCTATATTCTAATTTTATTTTAGTTTAATTTATGCTCACTTTTTTCTTCCTTTTCTTTATCTTATTCCTACATTAAATTATAATTTTGAAAAAGACCATAAATTTGCTCATAAATAATAAAGTGTATTATTATTTTTATTATTATTATTATTATTATTTTTATTATTATTATTATTATATACCGGTGGCAGCTAAAAGTGTTTTACGAACAGGTGATAAAGTTGAAGAGTAATACAAGAAATTCTAAGTATTAGTTTAGAATCACATAAGATAAATACCATGAGATGTAGAGTTTTAATTAAATGCTAAGTTAGAGATACATTATTATTATGATTATTATTGTTATTATTATGATCCTGAATAATATAATATAATATAATATAATATAATATAATATAATATAATATGCATTTTATACCATCTCTCTCACACACACTTATTGGATAACACTTCTCTATCTTTCTCGGGCACAAAGCCAGACAGAGCATAAAATAGCTGTGAATTTGTGTATTGCAAACATTACTGCTGTTGTACATATATGTCTCTCAAAAGTATAATACAGTGAAAAATATGGCATATTAAAAAATTACATTCTTAAATAAAACCAAAAAAGAAACATTTTCTGTGTAAACATTAAACAGACAATTCCAGTAATTTATGACTACAAAGAATTTACAAAAAAGAATGAAAATCATGCAGTATGTTTTACTGATGGAGCAGCATGATGCTACTGTAGAAATCAGTTCTTTACTAGAGCTTCAGTAGAAATCGTTTTTTATTGGAGCTTCAAAATATATGAGAGAATATTAGCTTTTAGCAATAAAAATGCTTTACATAATGATGATATTCTGCAAAATACTGTTGTTGCATAAAGTTTGGTTTAGCAATTTAGAAAGTTGTGTTTATTATGTTTTGATCTCTAATTTCATGTATGCCGCTTCTTTGGTACCAATGATTCCTTCATTACCTAGTGGCAGAAAATGTATCTTATTTTCAGATTATTTATTTGATTGTTTTTCTTATTGGAAACATTATGCTAGAGATCGCATTTCTTGGACTGTTTGAGCACTTTCTGTTTAGAAAGGCTGCAGTCTTTTCTGGACATCTCTCTCTGTATTCCTCTTAAAACGCTCTCATCTTCTCCTCAGTCCAGAAATATATCTCCACCAAGCTGTTTGTGTTTCTTGTAAGATGCATATATTAAGGAAAGCTGTGACATGACAGTAAATGTATGTGTAAAGGTGCTATTTTACCAGAAAAAAAACAACATGTTTTTAATAAACAACATTTATCATGGAGAAAACTGGTAGTTCACTAATTGGCACACTGCCTTCACACCCTGTGCAGTCAACGATTCTTCATCTTCTGCCACATCCCTGGACAACAAATCCACATCTAAATTATCTCTGCTACATAGGAAATTATGAAATGTATCCACTTCAGCCCACTTCAATGGCAGGAACTTAAGCTGTTGTCAGTCAACCAGTGGGTCAATCTTGTCAGGATCTGTAGCAACCCCCTTTAAAAAATCTTGGTATCACTTTCTGTTATAATGCATTCATAAGGCATTATAAACATGACTATAAATACATATAAAAATGAACTACACTTACCTGCTTATTATGCATTATGAATTGTTACCACGTTGCATTACAAGTCGTGTTAATAACATGTTATATTGTCAGTGCCAAAGAAGTCAGTCCCAGCATGCAGAGTAAAGTGAGAGAAGTGAGACAAATAAGTTTATTTACACCATGCCATTTCCAATATTCTATTCCTCACCATGGGTGTTGCTAGGGCTGCACCTTCAGAAATTAAATCCTGAATATTCAGGTGCCAGCCACAAGCAAGCTGTCCAGCCCAGAGTTATTACTACTCCATCAATTTAAAAATTATATTACATCACTGCAAACCAAGTACCTATCAGGCCCCTCCCCTGAAACCATGACCTCACACTGAGCATGACGTTACTGTGGAGTGAAGGCTTGGAGAGTGAGAGGCAAGTTAGTATAGTGCTATCATTGTAATTTGTTCCCTCACTGGTGCTAAGATCAACCACTAGAAACTTTCACTTTGTAACATTACTACCCTACACTCCAGTGATGCTAAATTATGCTATTATATTATTAGATATGCAGTGTTAAGTTAGTACCAAGCAGTTGTGTACATTGATTTTCCCACATTGGATAAAATACTACTGAAGGCACCACTATTTTAAAATCTGACATTTAAAGTTGTAAAGTGCTTTACTTTGTATGTTGCAGTGTTTCATTAAAACCTTCAGTAAAAACTTCAACTTGAAGAATCACTCTTAATATTGTAGGAGCCCTTAGTATAGTATGCCTCACTCTACTTAGAGCTAAACATTTAATTTACAAGCTCTTGTAAGCTGTTATGAATACTATTTATAATGTGTTATTAATAATTCATACAGCGTAGTAAAATAATATGAGACTCTAAGGCTTAAAGTACTTCCTGGGAAGGCAGCTTGAAACTTAGGTGTGAAAAGGACCTCCAGTGAGTTAACCTAAGTATGAATGTGTGTAGCTATATGGGTATGTATATCTATCAAAGGGTCTTAACCTATTAAGTAAAATAGCATCAGAAACCTGAGTGCATAAAATGTGAACACAGTCTTACTTTGGAGTCAAGAAAGCAGACTTCAAACCCTCAGCTCAGAACCAGGCTGGATCAGGAGAAGCTCACGCGCTGGGGGTCTTGCTCCATTGGTGGTGGCGGCTTCACCATGGCAGCCCAACGGACAGAAGTAGCCTCAGTCAGTGACTAGGCAGAGGCGTCTCGAGGAAATCAGGTGAAGAAATCAATCGGTAGCCAGTTGAAAGACTGCTTTACCTTCCTTCTCTAATTGTGGCTTAAAACTTAAGGTGTGCACAAACTAACAAACAAAATATAAAGATGAACAAACAGCAAGTTTAAATGTCCTATTTTCTGACCTAGGTCAGGACTAACTTGTGGCTCTAGCTGGCTTTCGCTTCTCTGAAGTCCTAACTGAACTGAACTGCTTTTCATCCAAATGACTACATTGGTAAGCTATCAAAGTGAAACATTACGTATTGTTAGTGTCTAACAAATAGATAAGATACAGCATCACTTATAAAACAAATAAAATAAAATGCATACAATGTGAACATGAGTTTTCCTTTTTTCTTTTACCCTGGGGAAGTGGTTTTGTGGCTGAGTGGTGTGTCTCATTCTCACTACTTGGTGGTGCTATGGGTCCAAGCCTACAATATCAATAAAATCCAGAAAGTGCCAACACCGTTACAGATTCTCCAAACAATTTTTGCAATGTGGAGTTAATACATGCTTTAGAAATCTTATTTTCTGTTACTCAGAGAGTTTTTGGTGAGCCATGCTGGACTCCAGGCAGAGTGTTTATTGTTTCATTGTGTAACCTGAGGTACAGGAGGTTGATAACCTCCCGCTGTGTTTGGTCCTGGTAAAGGATGATTTCTTGTGAACTTCTTAATCCCATTTATGGCTTTTAGCTCAGACTTTACGGAGCCAAAGCTATTAAGATTTGGGGTTGTGAAAACATCTGTAAGCAACAGACTTTGGCTCAAATAGATCAAATAGTATCTCCCATCATATACATTCTGTACATGTAATTCTGTGGCTTCACCTCCTAGCTGTACGTAGAGGGGCGTACTTGCATGTGTGGGTTCTTCCAGAGTTTATTCTAACACACACACACAAACTGAGGAGTTCTCTTCAATCCAAAATCCTGCGTGGAGGGGTTCAGTGAATGTGGAGTGGAATGTGTGTAAGTGTGTGAGTGTGTGTGGATCAGAAGAGATGCTGTAGAAGGACAGAGTGCCGGCCTCCCAGCCCACATACACTCCTACTCTCTTAGATCTGATGAGCTGACGGGGGATCACAGTTCTCTTATTATTGTGCCAGAGTGACTTTCATCAGAGCAGTACAGACACCACGAATGATTATTGCATCCAAACTCACAGTCATCACTGTCTCCTTTCCTCTTTATTCCTCTGTAAGTCACTGCTATATCAGCCTCCCCTCCGCTCCATTCAGCTTCCCAGTAACAGCGTCCAGTTAAACTCTCCACACACATAAACTGAGGACACTCAACAAATCTGTCTGGATGATTTGGATAATGCTGATCCTCACTCACATTTTCCACCTTCCTGTTCTCCTCAGGCAGAGAGAAGTATGTGTACACTGTGTTTGGGTCCAGAGTGAGTTCACACACATCTTAACATACAATGAACACAAATAAGAACAGAACACCCACATAGACAGTATTGTGTGTGTGTGTGTGTTTGTGTGTGTGTGTGTGTGTGTGTGTGTGTGTGTTTGTGTGTGTGTTTGTGTGTGATCTTACATTTTCTCAGACTCGGTTTGATCCACATCTTCCCGTCATTTTCTACCCTGAAGAACACACGCGCGCACACACACACGCACACACACACGCACTGAGTTTCTGTTTCCTTGGTTTACTAATAGCTCTCTCTTTCTCTCTCCCCTTTATTCTCCTTTTTATTTTAGTTTTCTTTTTTCTCTCTTTATCCACCTTTATCCATCTGCCTTCTCACTGTTTTACTTTTCTCTCTCTCTCTCTCTGCTCTTTCTTTTTCTTCCTCTTCATCTTCTTCTTCTTCTCTATCTTACTGTCTTTTTCTCATTCACACCCTCTTTCTCTCAGTTCTTCTCTCTCTTAACCCCCTGGAGTCAACGAATGTGCTGCTGCGTCATATGAAATGTTTCTCTGTGTTTCTGTTAATATTGTACAATGTTTGGACAATGTGTTTGGGGTTGTTTGGGGTTTGTTACAGAACTATGAAAAAGTATTTGCCCCTTACCTGATTTATTCTATTTTTAGTAATTTGTCACATTTAAATGTTTCAGATCATCCAATTAATTTTAAAATAAGATAAAGACATGAGTAAATGCAAAATGCAGCTGTTAAATGATTATTCCATTAACTGATGATAAAGATGTGTTTAAAACCTAAATCACCCATGTGAAAAGTAATTACCCCTAAACTTAATAACTGGTTGTGCCTGGCAGTTACAACTGCAATCAAATGTTTGTGATAACTTGAGTCTTTTACATCACTTTGGTGAATTTTGGCCCACTCTTCTTTGCGGAATCATTTTAATTCGGCTTAGTTGGAGGGTTGTCAAGCATGAACTACCCATTTGAGGTCTTGCCACAGCGTCTTAATGGGATTAAAGTCAGGGCATTGACACAGCTATTCCAAAACCTCAATTCTGTTACTTTTGAGACATTCAGAAGTGGATGCACTTGTGTGTTTCCGATGATTGCCCTTCTGCATAACCCAACTCAACTTTTCCCCAAGTTTTCTCCATTTGTGGATAATGGTTTCACTGTGGTTCACTGGAGTCCCATAGCCTTAACAATAGCTTTGTAACCCTTCACAGACTGGTAGATTTCTCATTTCAATGTATTGCATCTGTATTTGAATCTCTAAAGACTGTGGCTTTATGTACCGCTTTCTGAGACTTTCTAGCCTGCTTCACATTGCCAGACAGATTCTATTTAAGTGGTGGTTATATTCAACAGGTCTGGCAGTAATCAAGCCTGGGTGTGGCTGGTGAATTGAGCCCAACAGTCAATTGACTAGTTTTAACTCATTGCTTTAGTGCTTAAGGGGCAATACATTTTTCACACAGGGCCAGGTAGTGTTGAACAGCACTTTTACTTCAATAAATGAAATCATCATTTAAAAGCAGCATTTTATGTTTACTTGGGTTATCTTAGTCTAATATTAAAAGTACTTTGTTGCTCTGAAATATTCAAATGTGACAAATATGCAAAAACAGAAGAAATTGGGAAGAAGGCAAATCCTTTTTCACAGCAGTGTATGCTGGGGGACTCTGACTGTGAAAAGCAGCATTGGAAGCCATCATGTTTGGGGCTGTTTGTGCTTCAGTGCAGGAAGAACTGGCAGTTGAGCGCTCGAGCATTGCAGATATGCCACAGGCTCTTTCGTCCGCAGACTGCACTGCTCTGTCTCCAGCAGCACTGCTCTGTCTGATCCACTCAGACCAGCGCAACACACACTAACACACTACCTCCACATCAGTGTTACTGCAGTGCTGAGAATGATCCACCACCCAAATAGTACCTGCTCTGTGAAAGTCCATGGGGGTCCTGACCACTGAAGAACTGGGTAAATGTGGCTAATAAAGTATGCAGAGAAACAGATGGACTACAGTCTGTAATTGTAGAACTACAAAGTGCACCTATATAGTAAGGCACTCAAGTAAAAGGAGTCTGGCTCTGAATGGTTGAGGTGGCACCAGAATTTACAACATCTGCCCTCCTCTGCTCTGCTGGCCAATTTAGAAACTCCTCTGTTTACCTGTGGGATGCTTTTGCAGAATTCAATATTTAAAAAATGCTGTGGGTGTTTTGTCCCAACTTTTATATATTTTTTTCATATATGTTATAACCCAATGAAGAACAATGTATAGTTTCCATGAGAATCATGTCTTTTCCTTCTAATTACAAGGTAGAGACTGAGACTTTTGCATAATTTCAGGATTTCTTTCACACTGTAAAACAATTTAAACTTGGAATTCAGAACAATTTAAATTATACACAATTATGCACTGTAGTGATTTGGATAAACCTGCCTCTGAACTTACATAATCTCTCATTCTCTCTCTGTGTGTCTCCATACCTGAGTGTGTGTAGTGAATAGTGTGGATCTGAAAGCAGTTTCACTCCAGACTCCCCTGGATGGTTGTAGTTCAGATCTAGTTCTTTCAGGTGGCAGGTATTTGATTTCAGAGCTGAAGCCAGGAAAGAACAGCCTTCCTCTGTTACTAAACAACCAGATAATCTGCAGAAAGGGGGGAAAACAGATGTTTACAGATGTATTGTTTACACAAAAAAATCTACAGTTCTGTCATTTAGTACAAAAGCTGCAAACACCAAATTCTGTTAAATATAGACCTCAAATTTATAAAAATAATTATATTTAATTCTGTTAAATATAAACACACCAAAAAGAGTGAAACAGAAATATTAGCAAAATTATCACAACAGCTTCCCACATCTAATGACAAAATTCCAAATCATCTGATTCAGATTTCAGTTAATATGATGTAGATGGGTTATTTGACATAAATACTGATCTCAGTTTAAAAAAAAACAAAAAAAAAAAAAAAAAAACAATTAAAGCTACAGGCATTGCAGAAACATTGTTTTTTTAACTGATATTTGTTGTTACTTTTCTGTTCCACTTAAAGTTTCATGATAGAACAAGCCGATTTCCTTTTCAAATATTAGATGTCTAAAGGTACTGCTGTTGTTTTGTGATACCTTTTCAATGTAATTACATAGCTGCACAATTATTACAAAGTTTGGCATATAATAATTATATTTACATTAGATTACATTCTGTATCAACAGGTTCTACATTTTCTCAGTTTGTTTTCCTGAAATGCAAAGCATAATAAAATATCTCATTTTGTAGATACAAACATAACATTGGAATAAAATGAAAGTTTATAATCTACAATTACACAAAATGTCTCCAATTGTTTCACTAATTTATGAACGTTAAATAATTTATATGAAATTACAACATGAGTTTGTTATTGCCAGCAATAATTGTGAATGTTAAGGGTTAATTAAGTGTCACTTAAGTAATTAAAGCCTTAAGAGCATGTGGAAAAAACTCAGAGAGGAGAAAATAAAGTCTGATGAAGGTCTCATGGGTTTAGGGGTATGTTATAAAGTACAGAACAAGAACCTAAGAAACCAGCTAACTCTAGATCAGTGGTGTGTAGAGGTTTATTAAGATAGTTAAAAGATTGAGTTAATTAGTTATTGTGTTCTGATGTGAAAGTAATATCAGAGAAGCACTGAACATTTTCCATTCAGGAATGAAAGTTTACCTGAGAATCTCCAGTTTACAATGTGAACTCTTCAGTCCATCAGAGAGCTTCTCCACTCCTGAGTTCTGCAGGTCATTGAGACTGAGGTCTAGTTCTCTCAGAGAAGAGTTTTCCCATTTTAAAGCTGATGATAGATTTTCACAAGACTATTCTCCAAAATTACACAAAACTAGACTGCAAAGAGAGTAAATACAATATATTTTACAGGATATTTTAATTGATATCTTGTTTAGGCATTACAACTCCAAATTCCCTTCATTTTTTAGCTTACTTGGGCACTCAGTTGTTGTCCCATTACATTTTTATTTAGAATAAGGTGAAGGGATCAGTACTTAAAATGATATTATATTAGTATATAAATTAGCATTTAAAGTATGAAAAAAACACTTAAAATGTCTGTATTTACCTTTAATATGGTGATTTTGGGCTGTCCCACCTCACTGACTTATAGTAGACTGAACACCCGTGAATTATAGCTTATTTTAATTTCAATGTAAATAACATTGGCATTGCTAGGACAATTTTAGGAGGGCTTTAGTTCCCCTACATGTTATTTAGCCCACCTTTCTAAGTAAATGTAAATTAGTGGTCCAAATCATCGATAATTTATTCTCAATCATTAACATAACGCGTAGCAGGTCACGTTAATGAATGAGAATAAATCATCGATGATTTGGAATGTTAGGAGGGCTTTAGTTCCCAGATATCCAGCTATCTACATATATGTATGTATGTATATATATACACACACATATATATATATATATATATATATATAGAGAGAGAGAGAGAGAGAGAGAGAGATAGCTGGATATCTTTTGTTTTTTACTTGGTTGCTTGTTAACTTTAAGCTGACAAGACAACTACACTTCATAGTGAGTGCGAGAGTGTGACCGAACAAGAAAGAAAAAAATAACACTATTGACAGCTCTTTATATTTTTTGTTTTTAGATTTCTCTTTAGTATATGTAAACAATTACACCAGTATATACCATACATTGTTGTTTACAGTAAGTTAACATCTGTGAAAAGGGCAAGGCGAAGTTGGCTTCCTATTCACCAGATTCTTGTACGAATCTTCCCGTTGTTTACTGCTGCAGGATTTAAGGTGAAATAGGAAAATTCAAACAAGAAGCTGGCTTAAGCTTTGTGTGAAAAGGTCATGATAGCACAGTTTTATGCCCCTCAATTCTTCAACCTGTAGACTGAAATTAAGAGGCAGCAGCTCTGCCAAAGGCCAGTCAGATGAGAAGATTTTTACCAGTTAAAACAAATTAAAAAAATGAATTTATTAATCATTATTACCTTGAGTTCTTGTTAATCTGAGTTTAGAAAAAATACTTATTAAACACAGAAAGAGAAGAAGAGAGAGAGGCTTAAACTGAAGAAGACTGACAGGACTGAAAGAGCAGTTTCCTCACAAGTCATGTGATTTTAAGCAGTTAATTTCACATATCAAGTTCCTCACAAAGACTGCATTCTTTTATTTACTTAACATTGCTCATCTTTGCCCGTTCCTGACTGATAATGATGCACAAACTTTGGTTCATGACTTCATTATGTCCCATATTTATTACTGTAATTAGCTCTTTGTTGGTCTCCCTTTAAAGTCTATACAAAAGCTACAGTACATTCAGAACTCTGCGGCCAGAGTTCTTACCCATACTAAGCGTTGAGCTCACATCACTCCCATTGTCTCTCAGCTTCACTGGCTACCGGTCCTGTCCCATATAAAGTTTAAAATTTTAGTACTTTCCTTTAAAGCCTGGCATAACCTTGCTCCCCTCTACCCCAGAGAACTCCTGACCTCTTACCCTCCCTCTTTCTCTCTCAGGTCTTTTTGCAATAACTTACTTGCTGTCCCACACACCAGACTTTCCAGGTCCTTCAGTGCCATGGCCCCCACTCTGGAACTCTCGTCCTCAATCCCTCTGTGACTGTTCTTCTTTCTGTACCTTCAAATCTGCTTTTCTCTTCCATGAGCACTTTTCTTCCTCCTTCACTGCCTAGTCTAGTTTATTATGTATAGTGACCTTGGGATTGTGAAAGGTGCTATATTATTATTATTATTATTATTATTATTATTATTACATTTTTTGTTTAGTTTATGATCTATCTATCTATCTATCTATCTCTCTCTCTCTCTCTCTCTCTCTCTCTCTCTATATATATATATATATATATATATATACATATATATATAATTTTATCTTTCTTTGGCCTGACATTAAGTTACCAGAGTTTAGCAAATTTAACAGACTATTTTGATTCTGTTCATTGTTTTACTATAAAATGTACAACCCCAACAATCCCAATTCCAAAAAAATTGGAATGCTGTGTAAAATGTAAATAAAAACAGAATGAAATGATTTGCAAATGCGATGGTTTGCAAAACAAACTTTGACTTGACTTGACAAACAATATGGATTTTATAATGCTTGTTTTTCATTTCACCACAGCACCAACTAAAAAAAAGGCTCACAATATACTGGTACTGATACTTTTTATGGAGATGTCAAAACAAAACATCTCCAAAAAAGTATCAGAAGGAAAAAATCATCCAATGCAAGTTAAGGTCATGTATTTTTGTATGTACATTTCTGTTGGGGTGTTCATTCAGGATTAAATTTTGACATAATGAATACTGTTGGTATTTTCAAATTATGCATAAAAATGAAAATGATTTTGCTCCAACAATGACTACCATATACTGAAAGCAAAGATTCACATACTTTTGCCACTCATAGATATGCAATATTGGATCATTTTCCACAAGAAATAAATGAGCAAGTCTAATACTTTTGGCACGTTTGTTCAAATTGGTTCTCTTTATCTACTATTAGGACTTGTGTGAAAATCTGATGAAGTCAGATACATTGTATGCAGAAATAGAGAAAATTCTTAAGGGTTCACAAACTTTCACCAATTGCAACATTTGCAACTTTTTACAAACCTAAATATTCTTGTTAATATAAACTAGGGGTGTGTCACGCATTCGGTCAACTCTCTGGAAGACACGGACTTCATCTCCCAGAATCCTCTGGGAGATCACATGACTGAACATCCGCACTCAGAATCCAGCTCTGGAGAGAACTCCATTGCCCAGAATTCAATGGGGTCTCATGTGACTTTGGACTTTCACCGCCGAACCTATCAGCGCTCTCAATCCCCTGAGTACTAACTATGTTCACCTGTGCATATGATCATATGACAGATAGTTAGCAGTATTTAAGCCCGGGCTTTAGTCTGAATCTTTGCGAGGTATTGTTTCCTACTGAGTGTTATTTGCCTGTTTGATTATACTCTGTGTTTTGACCTTTGCTTCATTTGTTCTGTTTTTGACTTTTTGCCTCTTCCCTTGGTACTTTCGCTGTTCTGACAGATCTTTGTTTTGACTTTTGGACTGTGTTTTTGACTTCGATTTGAGCTGTGCCCTTTTGCTTCGGGTTGGTTTGTTGTTAATAAACCACCTTCATTTTTTCATCTGCAAGCGTCTGATTTTCTGTCACGGCGTCACAGGGGTGCTTATTCCTAAATAAGTATGCCTATATATGTTATATCATATTTCCATTCCAAGAACACAATGGCAAGGACTAATAAAGAATAAGAACATTCTATATCCTCTCATATAAATTAAAGTCGACAGTGTCTACTTTCAGTAATCCTACTCATTTTAATAAACATATCTGGTCTCACTTTATATTTTAATAACTATGTAGTTACACATACAACATACACTTTCACTCATAAATGTAAATGATTGTTTGTACATCAGTATATGTGCACATAAAATTCATCACAGCAAATTACTAAGATGTTTCTCTTTCTAACAGTGACATAAGCTTCATGTTATATCCTGAATGTACAACTGATGACAAACAAGCTTTTGTCTAAACATTTAGATAACTAATGTGCGAAGTTATAACTTCTGTTGACATATTTGTTGCGTACCCTGCCAACATATTATGCAGTTAAAAATAACTACAAGCTTTAACAAACTTTTTAATTTAAAATCACCATTTTTAAATGTAGGGACTCAGAGACAATGTAACACATTAATAGAGTCTGAAGCACAATATAAATCCTGTTGAATAATAAATATGCTACAATATGGATACAAGTCTGTAAATGTGAATATGTACATCAGGCCCATAACTAGGATGAATTTTTATGTGAGGTCCATTTTACAGAAATGTGACTTTTATCCCATGGTGAATAAACTAACTGCCACATGTGAGTATCACATCAGCTGTAAGTTTCTCACATTTTATGTAACACATAAAAAAGGGTGCACATTTTTTTGCTGACTTCTCCTCTTGCCCTAGTGCAGGAAAAAACATTGTTTTCAGTCACTGTAGCACCCAAGAAATCACCTGTGACCATTTTAAATATGAAGTAAATTTGTTTATAGGTATAATTAATATTATTATTATTATTATTATTATTATTATAGTATTTGTACAATAAAAAAGAGATATTGAATATTTACCATTTGAATTATTTGAAATGTAGCTAGGACTGTCAATTTTCACATATATTTTTTCACATTCCTTATTCAAGTGGACAATTTTATGTCTAATCTCCTCAGATATATCTCTTATAGTCATTTTAGATGCACAGAAGAGGGCATGCTGACATTTGCACAGTTCAGCATATCTGACAAAATGCCAAACTGTGTAGATTAAATGTAGGAGGGCCAACTCCATCTTCACATTTAAGAATATATTCACACAAACTTTACCTGAGTATCTCCAGTTTACAGTGTGAACTTTTCAGTCCAGCAGGGAGTAAATTCACCCCTGAATCCTGCAGGTCATTCTTACTGAGGTCTAGTTCTCTCAGAGAGAAATTGTCTGATTCTAAAACCGACCTCAGAGTCTCACAGGACTGTTCACATAGTTTACACATAGAAAGACTGAAAAGAGAGAATAATCAAAACAAATATTATACTCAATGTAAGATTGATTTGATTGAATTAAATTGATGAAAATATTATTTTATATTTTGATAGTGTTGGTAGTTAGGAGTTCCAAAATTACATTTCTACTGACCTGAGTATCTCCAGTTTACAGTGTGAACTCATCAGCCCATCAGAGAGCTTTTTCAGTGCTGAATCCTTGAGGTCATTGTAACTGAGGTCTAATTCTTTCAGGGAGGAGTTTTTTGATTGTAGAGCTGTATTCAACGTTGTGATTGACTGTTCAGAGAGATTATAGCCAGCAAATCTACAAAATGAGAACAAAGAAAGTGATTAAACTAACATACATTGTCATGTTCTAGCTTAGAAAAAAAAAGCAATCCAGTACTTTATTTTTTCCTACTTCAATGTGCAGTTAATTTACACTGATTAATTGTTGAAAGAAAGATATGCTCTCTACACTTTCTTGTAATTAAGGTCTTCAGTTCTGCCTTTATGCTAGCATCTTAGAAGTCACAGGTGTTGCTTATAATAAAAAAGCCTTTACTATTTCTAAGCCGCTTATCCTCCTGGCTTGCAGGTGGTGCTGGAGCCTCTCCCAGCAGTCATTGGGAAGAACGCAAGAAACACCCTGGACAGGTCACACACATATTCACACCTTGGGGCAATTTAGCTTTTTCAGTTCATCTGACTGCATGTCTTTGGACTATGGGAGGAAACCAGAGCATCTGAAGGAAACCCACCCAAACATAGGGAGAACATGCAAACTCCACACAGAAAGGTTCCTGGTCACCCAGCTGGGGAATCAAACCCAGAGAAATTCTGTAGAAATGTTGAATTGTAAACTTTCAGTTGATCCCATAGTTTTGTTTGTAAATAGATAAGTAGTTTTTATTATTTCTCAAATTGTTCTGCTCAACAATTTGAACACATGTTGAGTCACTATATATCCTACAAAGTGCCATCTCCACCGTTTAGTAGACGTGAATATTTTTAAAATTGTGGGGTCAAAAAAAAACAAAAAAAAAAAACACCTTTTTTTATTATTATCCCAAACAAATAAAAAATACAACAAAAAATCCATTGCTTTTTTCTTGGTGAGGACATTAAATGGTTAAACTTGATAAAGTATTATTATTTGTGTACAATTTTAAGATACAAAAAGCAAAAAAACAATTTTCATCAGAACAATCATCAGAACAAATAGAAAACCATACTGAACCTGTCAATAAAGGCTGTAAACAGAAGTTGAATCTTACTCAGCATTTAAATAACTATGAAATTTTTGTTTAATTTTATGATTACATCTAACTCAAATGAACTCTACATTTCTAATGGTTAAGATCAGTTTTGTAGAACTCCCTTATAAACTGTTAAATAAAATATTTTTATTCTGGAGTGTTTTAATTGAATCAATTCCTTTATTCTTCCATGACTTTAATTCTTTATGTAACATGTTATGCTAAATATATGTTATGTTAATATATGTTAAATATAAGCAGCTGTACATAGGTTTATAAGGAAACACTGGGTTTCTTTATCTTTTTTTCCATACTGGTATTATCATAGTTTAGTAACCTATGAATTAAATAGAAAATAACAAATCCTAGGAAGACAATTATGTGCTACATGCATCTGCCTGTATTTATGATATTTTTTGGAAATATTTAAATGCTGGTTATACTTATCCTTTTTTAAAACATTTAATATTCCATAATTGCATATTTATGAAAATAAATAAATTAAAAAAAAATATTACAAGACAACTACCAGGAGTATTCATCAATTATTGTTTGACTAGGTACCACAGCTCTAACCCAACTGGGGCCAATGTTTGTAGCCTGCCTATAACTGAAGTTGCATGTGCAGCATGAGACACTAAAGCGTTTGCATAGTTGTTGTACAAGTTCAAGAACGGGCTCAAAGTACAAGCTATATATACTCTACTTGCAAGCTTTTAGAGTGTAGTAAGTGTATGT